TACTGACACCTCTTTGGCTGATTTGATCCAAACTTTGGAGAACTTCGAGAGCGACGAGGCTACAGGTGAACAGGATGTACTTGGCCACTGTGCGGCTGTCACCTTCGCTTCGATTGGACAAATCGGTTAAGTTAGCCGTGGGAAATTTAGCGGGTTTCTTAAATGGTAAAGAAGGGAGTTAGGAAGATTGGTAATAGAGAAATTGGGGTTGTAATATAACAATAAATAAAATAATTCTAGTATAAAATGCGAATGTTAATGTAAATTTTACATTTTACATAATAAAGGTTTTACAGCCACTGGAAGCTAAATTCCTTCGACCTGAATTTTGTTTATAAAATAAAATTATTATTATAAACAGCTCAAAGATAAATAAAAAATCCCAAAAACAAAGGCATGATTACTTATAACAAATTACATTTTTATTTGTCTATTTCCTTAATTTTAAAATATTTTTAAAAATTCTAAAAAAATGTATTCCAAGAGCTATGGCAGCCAACAGATTTATCACTTAAAAAAGTTCAAAAAATTTAAAAAAACGTATTCTCTTAACTTGATAAAGTATATAAATACAATCTTTATACACTTTTTTAAGCTGCTCTCAATTTATACGTTCATTAGTATGTAGCATAAATAAGACCCCTAATTAATTAACCAAATTAGCATATATAGTTATAAAATGATTTACTCAACAACTTCACTGGCACGCTTTGCAGATTAAAGGCCTTTCCATCTGTTCGTTGCTAGACACAGTAAAAATACATTTTCCCAGCCTACAAATTCTTATCAGACAAGGGAACAGCAAACACACACGCACAGAATTAAGAAGAAGAAGTAAATCTCTTTGACTAATGCAATTAAACTGATAACCTAACTAAATCAAACAAGTAGCCCCACCAAAAAAAGAAATCACCCACTGAAAATTGACGACCCCTTTTTTTTGGCCTGCGGTCATGCAGCGACTTAATTCCGCGGTCCCCTTTTTTTTTTCTTGAACTCGAAGAGCTGTGAATCTAGAACTGAAAACTTATGTCAGTGGCACGCGTCGGTGGCACGTGACCTCGACATGAAAATCACGCTCAAGATCGCCGAGGATGGCAAATGGACGGGGCGGTGTTAGAGACGAGGGTTGTGGGTGGGTGGGGGTTGCTTCTAGTGGAAGTGGTGAAAGGTGATGGATGCCTGTGTGCAGATGCTTTTAAATTTAAATCGAATCAAATTGATTTGCTTACAGTTCCAGTTTCACTTTTATTTTTTTTACTCTCCCAAGGCTGCACTGGAAGAAATCGATAACTTAGAAGCAGCATTTTGAGCAGAAAAGGGGAGCAGGATTTTCATTTTTCCATATATATGCTTTAAAATTAACTTAAATAAAATAAAAAAAATAAGAATTACAATCCTTAAAAAAAATAAACTATAAAAATTAAAATGCTTGACTGGTTGGTTGGTTAGTAAAATAAAATGTTATTTTAAAACAGTCTTTCATTCATTACAGTTTTTCTTTCAGTGTAGTACCAATTGGCACGCCCTTTTCAAATTTGGACAAGTAGAGTACGCCGTGCCCTGACCACGTCGCAGCCTCATTGTTTAGCCATTTGACAAGTGTTTTGACAATATTTATTTGAGCTGCTACAACCCAACCCCGCCCCCGCAGTTCTGCAGCATGCCAGCCCAATTCCGCCCACATTCGAGGCAGTGCCGCTGGGTAATTTGATTTCCTCGTAGCTGCTACCATCATCTGCATCCTTGACGTCGGACACGTTTCTGCCTAATGGAGTTGCTCGAGTGGCGTGAATTTCAATTAAATTAAATCAAAATGTTGCATTTTTTATTAAGGCCATTAGCAGCACACACGCAGGCGAAGGCCCCGCCCCCTCTGGAAGGGAGGGGACTGTTCCCTATTTGGTTAAATTAAGTTAAGATACCACCTTGCCTGTGCCAGAAAGAACTTGTATCTTAATGTGCATAATGAAGTGCCACACTTGACTTGCCAGCCACCCACCTCAGTGTGCCAATATAAAGCCAGTGAGTACAAGGATCCCAAAGGTGAGAAGGGAAATTATTGGGAAAATCACTTTATTTTTGAGAAATTTATTAATTTATTAAGTACTTTAGGTTATTAGAAAGCTAGTATGCAAGAAGAAAGCTGTCTCAAATAAACAGATTCCTAACAGATTAACAGATATCCCGACATACACCATCGCTTTGTCTCGTCGGTGTTGAAGTTTCGGGTTCATGAAACGGGTAAATGCAAAAACGAGCTCCCTTGAGCTTGCTCTTTGTGTCATACTTTCTGAACCAGAGAACGTCAAGGGTGTCTTTTTTCGGCACCCGAATCACACTCATACATTTCGAGTGTGTGTCGCACTCATGAACAGCAAGAAAAGAGCACACACCCGGAGTGCACAGATCGCTTTGTGCGTTTAGGGTGTTTGCGTTTTTGACACCCGCTCAATTCTAGGCACATGATCCTAATGCACAGACACCCGACACACTCATAGCAAATGAAGCGAGTGTCTGAGACACCCATGTTTTTGGGAAAAGTGAGTCGGGTGTCTTGAAAATGAGTCGAGTGTCTTGAAATGATTCGAGTGTCTTGAAATGAGTCGGGTGTTGCGGGTGTCTTCAGCTGTATTGCATGAGCAGGTAATTGAAGGAAGGAAGGAAATCCCAATAATGGCCCCTTAAAAGAGGCCAAATATTTTAGGATTTTCCATGTCAAGCCATCTACCTGCTATTCGCAGTGCAATTGACTTATGATCTGTATTCTTAATACGCATCTGCAAAAAATGGGAATACATTTGCAGGTAGATGGTTTGATAACAACACGGAAAATCCCAAAATATTGATGCAATGTACGTTTTTTTTTTTGGGTTTTTTAAGACTTTGTCATTAAATACTTGTAATGATTATAAACTCTTATTTTTTAATATTAGTTACTGAAGAAGGCAATAATTTGTATTATTAGAAATATACTTTTCTAATATTAAATTATTGGGATTTCCTTCCTTCCTTTCATGTAAAATTATTCGGTCAACCCTCAATGACCTGCTCATGCAATACAGCTGAAGACACCCGCAACACCCGACTCATTTCAAGACACCCGACTCATTTCAAGACACTCGACTCATTTTCAAGACACTCGACTCACTTTTCCCAAAAACATGGGTGTCTCAGACACTCGCTTCATTTGCTATGAGTGTGTCGGGTGTCTGTTGAAAAGAGTACTGGGTGCGCAAGTGCACATTCAAAATGAGCCTGTGCAAGGCACACACCCTTATTTTAGGGTGCCGATCACACTCTGAGTGCCGAAAAGGCACACATGATTCGAGTGCACTCATTGTCTGGGTGTACCCTTGCCGTTCTCTGTTCTGAACTACTGCATTTCCCATTTCTTTCTCTTACATTTTTGTAACGAGTAATTCAGCTGCGCAGTTCACATGCATCATGTCATTCCATTTACTCTCACTCACTAAACAACTTAAGTCACCACCTAAATTGGTAGATAGCTTTGTCTCGCTTACTCTTGGCATCTCGTTATTATCATTATTTGCACTCCGTACTAGCATAACATAAGAGAGGGCCGAACTAAGAAAACGGTAAATATTTGGAACATTGTTGTTAAAATGGTTTTGAATATTTAATGATTTGTAGATCTGTGTAACTTTCTTTGGTTAGTAAATTGTAGAATTAATTTTAGAAAAAACCTTTTTCCACTGTCCCGAGCAAAGTAAGAGAATGCAACAGCAGCATTGGGTGGCAGGTTTCGAAAAAGAGGAGTGGAGTTCCAGCCATTGTTACATGTGCATTAAGAGAAAAGCTGCAGTGCTCAGGAAAAGCTGGGAAGACGGGGCGAAAGCTACTTTGAGTGGCAATAAACAATGCATAATGAGTTGAGAGCCTGGCTATTATTGTTGTTGCCCGTGGCTGAGGACGTGCATTAGTCAAACAGGTAATTTAAATTAAACCAAAACAATAAACACAGCTGGCATAAGAAAAAAAAAAATAAGGTGCGAAACGCATTTCCCCATTAGGAAATTGCAAATTAAGATGTAAACACTTTTAGGCCTTCTCCATTACCACAGCCATTGCACTGGTTTTATTTTATAAATAAACATTTAAATATATTATTAAACCCTAAAAAGTGTAAGATTTCCTAATATTATGAAATAATAAAACTAATTGGAACTTTAAACTTGCTTTTAAACTATGAAATAAATCCAAAAATATTTTTTTAAAACTTTACAAACTATTTTTTATTACTCCAAAATAAATTTTCCAGAACTTATAATAATATTAACAATTTTAAGCTTTTTATTGGTTGAGATATAAACGGCTCTCTGAATTATCACAAATCTACATTGTAGTTCGCCAAACTAAAAAATTTACTACAATTTCTGCACAGCCTCAATTATGCAGTTAAGGGGTAGAGATTAAAAGGGTTCCCTAAATAAAAAAAGTACATACATATGTATGCGTCTTATTTGTATTTTTGAATTAGAGAAAGAAACTTTGGGTTGGATTATCAGTAACACGCGAAATCGTATATGCAAAGGCAAGCATTCGTTATTCCATAGTACACTAAAAGGAAAATCAATGGCTGAGCTAGTCGCCAAAAAATAATGATATTCATATTTCATGCTGATCACATTTTATAATGAATTATTATTATTATTATAAGCCACTTACAAATATTTATGAGTTGAATAGTTTTAGTGGTGATCACAAAAAAGTAATTTGTATTTATATTATTAACAATAATAATGTTAATTTAAAAAACTTGTATTAAAAATACAAATTTAACTGTTTCTAAATTTTAGATTAAGCGTTATAGTCGACCAGCTAAGCTACCCATTACTGTGGTCATGGTTTCAACGTGACCTACTCCAACATCATATGGAACCCGAGTTCTTATCGTTTATACCGGCTGAGAGACAGAGAGACAAGGCTAGATAGACACAGCAGTGATACATATATACTATTCTTAGCAATATTAAGTCAAATACCATACGCTCTTAATTCATTATAGAAATATTCATTATTATGGTATTCCCGAAAACTCAGCGGAAGAGCGAGAATCAGCAATTGATAAGCCCCACACGCTGCTAAATATTTTAAAAGAATTTGGGAATTCGTATTTAGTATTTTCGGATCGCTTCTAAGAGAATGAAGTCTTTTCTGCTAGCTCTGCTCGCTTTTGTGCTCTTCCAAGAGGGAATGACACGTTACCTGGATACTGGCTGTGACATTCCCTCTTTTACTGATAGGATAGTTTTTGGGAAAAAAGTTAAACCGGGAACCACCCCATGGATGGCACAAATAAGGAGAAATAATGAATTTCTTTGCGGTGGCTCTCTAATTCATCCAAGTTAGTATACTATATAGTATATTCAAATCTATAAACAATCATTTACTTTTAAAAATCACAGGCTTCGTATTGACAGCCGCGCATTGTGTTCAACCAAATGTTACTGTGTAAGTATTAAAGTTAACTTAACTTTGACCAAGTACTAAGATTTTTATTTTAGAATCGTGAGATTAGGCGCCTATCGCAGAGCCTGCCCGCTTAGTCGTTGCCCAGAAATTGAGGAATATACTGCTATAAAGACCATAGTACCTAATACCATCCCAAATGAGTCTATGGCTGATATAGCTCTTCTGAAACTGAACAGACAAGTGCTCTACAACGGTAAGCAAGTGTTAAAAGTGTTACTGAAGGTGAAGGACATCTTAAAATTTGATCCTGATCAAAAACATACACTTTATAAGATCGATAAAGCTTTTTTCCACTTATAACATACTTTTTACATACCAAATGTGAAAATGGTTTCAATATTTACCCAACGATTAATTTAACTCTCATTAATTAACTCTAATAACCCATAACTTATACACTTCCATTAATGGACGAAGTTTTCAACTGACTGCATAGATCACATCCGACCAATCTGCATTTACATGGGTAATGATATAGACACATCGTCAATTAATAAATTCCAAGCTTACGGCTGGGGAAAGACGGAAAAGAACTTGAAGAGTTCAAACCTGAAGTACATTTCTCTGACCCGCCGCGATTCGATACATTGCGCATTTAAGAACACCGAAAGAGATATCTGCGCTGGCGCCAATAGAGGCGACACCTGCAATGGTGACTCAGGTGGTCCTTTGGTTGCCAATATCACAATTGGGGGTCATCAGGTACCCATACAGTTGGGAATTGTCAGTTCTGGTGAAAGTTCTTGCAATTTATCAGGCGTTTACACGAATGTCGATGCCCACAAGCAATGGATTTACGATACCGTAATGGCTGACGCTAATGCTTATGTTCAGCCGCGTTTGTTGGATGACAAGTGTAGTAACACTCGGCTAAAATCTGGAAACATACGTCAGCCCTGGAAAGTTGTTGTACTTCCCAGATATTCGTATGGTGCACTAATCACAAATCGTAAGTACTAGTTAAAAAACTACTATATTGCTAAGTAACTTATACGTACTTCTTTTAGGATATGTCGTCTCTGTTGCAAGGAATTTGCCCTCAGATGTTGCAAAAATGTAAGTAGAATTCTTTAAAAGTATCTGTAAGTCTTTCAATGTGTTTATCGTAAGTTTAGCACTGCGTCAATAGTCGATACAATAATCAAATATCGTCGGTATCGATATTGATAATATCGATAATGAAAAATACTATTTTTTAGAATATATTTTCCGAACGTAAAAACAAAAAAAAGAATAGCAGTATTGGACTACAAAAAGCAAAGTTATCAAAAATCATTAAAGTAATAATAATAATTTTTTTAATATGTTCAAAGTTTCATTTTTATTAAGGTAAGTTCTGTAGGAGGCTAGAAAGCTAACAAATTTAAAGTTATCAAAATAAAAAACTTAACACATTTCACTGAAAATATAAAAACAAAAAATAAGATTCTAATTTTACCTAGTTGGTTCTTGCCTTTCTAATTCTAAAATTTGTTTAATTTTGCAGTAAAGTAAGTATACCCCTCACTGCGACTGTTAACGTCGAGTCAGTATTTAAGCATCCACATTCGAGTGGCGGTAGTTTTCCTAGGAATAATATAGCTTTGCTCAGGCTTTCCACAGAAGTACAATATTCTGGTAAGTTAATATAAAAAAAAATGTATCCTGTCATAACTTTGACTCATTGATTTAGATTCTCTGGCCCCGATCTGCCTTCGCTCAAGTCATCCAAATTCCAGGTTGCTACCAAGATCGTTGACTTTCATTTATTGGAATGAAATTATGGTCCTAAGTCAACGAAGTATACCCGTTATTGAACGCAATTCTTGCTCTGACAAGATCGGAGTGACATTAAACGAGAATGACATTTGTGTCGAAAAACTCTCCTTTGATTCGTTTTCAAGAAATGAAATATTTGGTACGAATGAAGCCGTCAATTCGGAAGATAAATTCTTCCTTCGTGGCATTGTGAGCTTTCGAAGGAACGGTATGGCCATTATTACAAATATTCAAAACTACGCTGATTGGATAGCCAAAACCATTAATTTTCAAAAACATAAGAATACTACCTTGGAATTTAGAAACTGGAAAGAAAGTAATACCACACCTACAGGTGTCGCTGTATGAATTGATTACAAAAAGTTTAACAGCGCCTTCTAACCATAACCATAAACCAAATCATATTTCTCAACGGCTTATTGCCTTAATATCTTTAATGCTTCTTAAAACGATCTGATTTAAAGAAATTAATTTCAAACAAATTGATTTACTATATTAAGTTGTATTTACTATAAAAAAAACAGTTAGTATTTACTATAAATAAACATATTACATTTTACCAAAAAGTTTATCGCTTAAAAAATTCTGAGTATTTACAGAGCTATGCTAATATTGATGTGGGTTGAGTCCATACTAGATGTTACCGAGGCTCTGAACCACGGACTGTGTCTTTGATAAAAATTTGTGACTCGCTAGAATTTTAAATTAACAGATATCGTTCTCAAAAAATTATTGCCATGCAACATAAATCTATGTAGTATTTACAAGTCACCAGTACGACAAACATACATTGCTTTAATTAGCATGTATATATGTACACAATCAAAAAATTTAAAACATTACAGACATCGATATTCGTATGTCATTCACATTTCTCCGAAAAATATATCGATACATAGATATTTTGATTTACTTTTCACATCGCTAGAAAAACTAAATTGCATCTCCTGGTGTCGCGTTGAAAAAAGAGAACCGAAAAGTTTCTCTGGGCAAAAAACAAAATACGACAAATAGATTGTTCATGATGTGAATAATGTGAACCTACTGTTTACTAAATATTAAACCAAAATATTTGTTTTTTATCCAAAACGTGTCAAGTTAATTGGTTCCACGAAGGAAAAGTGAGAGAGGGTTTGAGGTCCAAAAAGAATGGAGCTGCCATAAGAATTGATTAAACAAAACAACTGTGAAGAGAGCGCAAAATGCACAAAATGGTTAAATTATTCCTCAGGTAATTTTGTTCACACCAATAACAACAACATTCTGTAAGCATTCTCTCCTGTTCTCTTTGTTGTTGTTGCTGGGGGTTCTCTCTTTGCGTTTTTATTATTATGAATGACGTAAGCGCCTCTTTGCTGTCAATACAAAAGCAATAACAACAAATTGTTTCGTCTTTTGAAAACAAGGAAAATAACAGAATGGTTTTTGTTTTCTGTGTATGTGAGCGCGTGTGTGTGAGCTCCCCTCTTACCTACACACAAACACAAACTCACAGGTAAATGTAGCGTCGTTGGAAAACGTGCTCGACGACCCCTTAAGAGATAGAGTAAGAGAGAAACGCTACTCTCTTTTACAATGTTATTTCTTTTTTTGGTCAATGACCTAAGCTTTTTTATCCGTTAGTTGGATTCGTTTCTTTCGCTAATTTCCGTGCGGTTTAAAAAGTTTAGTTTATTTTCCACAAATTATTGTTTACACTCTGCTTATGTGAAGGTTAATTACGCCCGTACCGTTAGCCGCCTCTCTTCACCTGAGTAAACACAATAGTAGTGTGAAAACGACCCCAAAACGATATTAAAAAATTATTAAGTTTAAAAAGTTTCTTGACAGATAAATAAGGTTTCAATGAAACATATTCGGAATAAATATAAAGAAGGGTAGTTGCTGCCTTTGGGATCAACGTTTAAATTATCAAAACGTCCTTGGAGTCGCATTTTGTGATAAGGTTCATGGGGACATTAAAAAAATCGTTATGCCAAAAAATTTAAATATTTCTGTTTAATTTCTTTTTATGACTAACATCAATATTTGTATATTCGTATATTTGTATGTTCAAAGTTAAAGTAAAGATTAGCTGTTAAAAATCTTAAAATTAGCAATGCGTTACATTTAGGGTCCTAATAGGGAAAGCTCTTCTTTAATATTATTGTTATTATTTACATTGCTGCTAAATATAAATATGAATCAGATTCGTCTTTATAATGTTTCCTTCTTATATTATACTATAACTACTAATGCACATCTCTTGTATTCCACTCGATCTTCATCAAAACAGCCTTGCTGTTGTGACACTTTGACAATAATTAAGTTTATGCACTCAATTGCCATGAGTCCGGAAACAAAAGTACACTAAGATGTAACACTTTGATTAATCTCTAGCAATAAAAACAGCAAAGAAATTAATAAACAATAACATCGAAATAACAAAGCATTGTTTATTAGGAAATAAAACAAATATTTTTGTTGTCGTAAGGCAAGGGTACACAAAAGGTTCCTTTGTTTTTGACTAACGAAAATTAGAGTGTAATTAATTTTAATTTTTAAATAAATAATTTAAAAATTGCAGATAATCTAATTTAAATTTGCATTTTAAAAAAAGTATTTATTAAAAAGTAAAAAATGACAGTCGTATTATGGCACACCAATCTCAAAATGTTGTTAAAGTCGCCCTTAAATGTGCCTGAAAGTATGCTGTAAGAAAATGCATATCCTTTTAAAAGGAAATCATCGACTTATGGAGCTAAAATTTAGTGTTGCATAGTTTTTGGCACCACGAGCCGTATGAAGTTCCTTGATATTAAACATTACCGAAATTGGTTCCATTCTTCTGCGTATTAAGATTTCATTTCTTCTTATCTCAGGACGCTATATTTGCCGTCTTTTCGCTAAGAATAAACATTTAATTAATACTCTTTGCTTTTTGCTTTTGTAGAGCAATCCTTATGCGGTGTTCTTCTCAGGGTTGAACTGATAAAAAAAGCAAATATACAAAAAGAGCGGGAACGTGTGAGAAAAAGCTTTTGGGTGCTGCTCAGTTTCAAATTTAAACGGCAGTGCTGGCCAAGCAATTGAAATGAAAAGAGGCGGGAAAAAAGGCCTAAGCGTGCCAGGAAAAATCAAATTGATATCAAGAAAATATTCAGTACTTTTGCATATATATACATATATATTTAATATCAACCAGGAAGAAAGGAGAGGAAACCTTTAAAAAATTTTAAAAACAAATTGGCAATAAGAAATCGGCGCGACATTAATATGGCTAGGTAAATACAAAGGCAGTCATCATTACCGAAGGTCGTTTTTGTTTGCGTGCGATAAACTTTTTTTTTTTTTTTTTTATTTTCTTATTTTATAGCAAATATCACAAATACAAAACCCGAATGCTTGGCTGTGTTTGCGATTGGCATTATCTGTAGGTAGGCCTTTGTTATCCAACCATTTGCTTATCGTAGCCGGGGCTGGGGCTGGGGTCGGGCTACCCATGCTTGTGGCTGTGATGGATTCTTGATTGAATTGTTGTCCGTGTGTTAGCAGTCGAAAAAACAATCGACAATCGCTTATCAGGAACATAAATAAAAGTTTAAGAAAGCTTGAGACGAAGTTTGGATACCCTGAAAGTTAAGGAACTAAATTTATAGCCTAGATTTACCTTTAGAAAGTTGTTTATTATGATCTTTTTAGGATGTTTAGATCTGTCACTATACCTAAAACAAAGAAACTTCATATCAATAAAGATCCCTGATTAGATGAAGTTGAAAAATAAAAGATAAACCAACCTAATGCAGGGTGTTCAAAGAGCTGCAACCCGGAAGATAAACAAAGCCATTAAGAAGGCCCAGCCTTACCTCGCATACATCTAAACAGTTTGTCAATCAACTGACAATCATTTGCCAATCAAAAAATTCGTGGGTGAGGTGAGCTCTAGATTTCTTAGGCTGAATAGGCATCGCAATCTAAAAAGTGGGACAAGAATTGATTGGCAAATGTTAAAGGCAATTAAAGCCATTTAGGCATTAACATTTGTTTAAGAAAATATAACGAAAATCGGCGTTGAATAAGTTCTCAGTCTACAGTTTAAGCTTCTTGTTTTATAAAAGCTAAAAATTGTTTTTTTTTATCTGCCTGTTTTTGTTTGCCTTCCCAGATTAAAATAGTCAACAATATGTTATCCCAGTTTATCTCCAGCAATTAAATAACCAAATTAATGGCTGTTATTGTTGACATTGTGGCGATTGCACGCTTAAAAATTGTAATCTGCGATTATACGGAACCGCAAAACGAAATGTTTTCACCTTGTTTCAACTTGTGGCAGGCAATTAATTGGGCTTAGATGGATTTATGGCCACCATATAACCCGAGATAACCCACAGTCGTATGGCATCATCGCGAAATGCTCATAAAAGGCGCGTCTATGACAGCATCTCCGCTGGTCCGCTGGTGCCGTGCAAAATTGTTTTGAGTATTTTTGGCCAACACAGGGAAATAATAATAAGAAAAAAAAAATATAAACCTAAAACAAAGAGCCGAAACAAACGTCTTGGACATGTGCGCAAATCTTTTTGAACTTTCGCATTCGAGGCAAGCGAAACAAGTGCCAAGAGCAAACCCTGACATACATTATAATTTGTAGCAACGCCCTCTTTTTTAACCAAACCGATTTTTTTAGAAGCTATATATATACATATATATCTTTTTTTGTGGATATTTTGTTCACCTACACGCGCGTCTAATCCCATTTTGAGCGGCATCAATAAATTTTCAGACAGTCGCAGACATATTCCGATTTCTATGCTGCTGGTCTATATAGCTGTGAGTTTGTTAGTATATATATATATATATATTATCCACCGATTTGGCAAATAGTCTTTGGGCCGCCCACAAACAGCTGTTGGAGAAAGGTGCGCTGCGGAAATACCATTCACCTGGTATCCCTATTTTTGGACCCAAAAAGCCAAATTGAGGCCTTAGCGAGGGAGTCCCGTTATTAGTCACCTGACTCTTGGTCAACTACAATCTATACTCACATTTTTTCGGCCATGAGTAAGCCCAATAATTAGTAATTGGGAGCACATCGATTTGGGTTCCACTTGACTTAGTCACTTCAAGTCGTAGTTATGTTAATGTTAAGGCACATTTCGTTAGAAAAGTCTATGGCTTGGCAATAAAAATTGATTTAAATGTTATTACTTTTAATTTAAAGGCCTTGAAACTTAGTATCCTATTTATAAATATCTTAAACTATTTGTAATATAAATAATATTTTTATTATTTACTTTTTAAACCCACTCTTAGATTATGTTGACTTTCATTTGAGTTTCCATTTGATTGCAAAAACTAAAGAAAGCCAAAAACAAACAAATGCCAAGACAAACATACAAAAATAGAAAGTCCCAATGCCATAAACAATGGTATCAATTTGTAAAATTATGGCTTCAATCTATGATTTGATATTGGCTAAAAGATAAAAGGGGAAAGATGTCTAAAAGAAAACTTTTTGTTTTAGAGAGGTTATATTGGGACATTACCTACATTTTAAAGATTTTTAATTTAAAAATGTTCAAAAAAAGAATATAACTTAAAGGGGATATAAGTATGTAATAAATATAAATATTATAGATATATTAATTATACCACAAATCATAGTAATCAAAGGCTAATATTGTCAATGGTTGTAGAATAATTTTTAAGCATAGAAATGATTAACCTTTTTAGAAACGGTTTAAAAAGGATACTTTTATACTATTTTCTGATATATAAAATCCAATCTTTCAGGATTATAACATCATCTTAAAGTCCTAAAAATGTTAAGAATATTATTTTGATACCCAAATTTATTTTATTTATTTACAAACAGACAATGAGAGCTTAATCTTAATGAATTTAAACCAAATTATTATTCACACTTTATTTGGTGTGTAATCAATTTGTTTTCTTTTTTGTTTTCCCATTTTTTTACCCCCTTTAAATAGTTTTTTTTCACTGGTCAACGAAAATTGTTAAACAATCGAGAGTGGCCCACGCGCAGCATAAATTTTGGTGGCTTCTTCCTACTCAATAGGCGGTTAGTGGTCAAGTTTTTGCCTTTTGATTGAATGCTGTTTGTTTTGAGCGCGCTGTCTTCTCTTTTTCTCTCTACTCTCGATTTCTCAAATTCTCTCAGCTCTTAGCTCTTCGCTCTCCGCTTTTTGCTCTTCCGCCGATCGATGTTCGAAGTACTTGTGTGGCGGTTTTTTGAGTTTCGCGACTCATTCGCTTGCGTTCATTCGACGCGTTAACAACGTTGCGTATACGCCTCGTCGGTAGCGTTGCATGAGTGTTGGTTGAACCGTCGCGTCTACGTCGTACCTTGTACGTGTGTGTATGTGAGCGAGCGTGCGTGTGCGTGTGAGGGTCTCTTTCTGTGAGTTCTCTTGATATTTAGGAATATTATTCAGGCGACTTGACTTCCGTTCCGATCGCATATAAAACCTCGCCTCTGTGTGTGCTCGCCCATATAAAATCATTTCTAAATTTATAAAAACAAACGCGTACACACACATATGTAGACACTCACTGGGCGCCCCAAAAGAAATCAATTTCATTTGTGCAAAAACGTAATGCCTTAAGATGTATATTTATGCATAAATATTTTGCCAAAAGAAAACCGAAAACCCACACACAGCAATAGGAAAAACAAAAACAGAAAAGTGCCACCCCAGCTAAACAACATAAAAGTGGGAAATAAAATTTGTTGATTTATTTTGGCCATATATATATATATATATATGTATATTCCGCTGCATTTGAATTATATTTATTGTTTGACTTTTTGTTGCTTTCTATATGAGTTTTTGAACATTGTTTATTTTCACATAAATTCTTCAGTTGAAAGTGAAAGCGGCGTCGCATCATCATCGTCGTGAAATGCTGTTGCCGGCGAGCCGAGATCGCAGAATGGACAAGTTATGCTAATGGCTAAGAGACTAAAACCAAAATACTGACAAACAAATGCAACAAATCGGACGAGAAACGGAATTTTAAACTACAAATTGAAACCTCTAAGAAGAAAGATATATACAAAATGCGCTTGCAACATCGTTATGCCAGCAATCCAGCCACAAATACGACTAATACTAACAACAACAACACCATAAATACCAGCAATAACAATATCAACCTGAAGCGGGCCAAGAAATTGAGTGGCCAAAACATTATCAAACTGCGCTCGGCCAAGCAAGCGACTTCCAAATCAACAACAACAATGCCGCCTGCCACCCCACAGCCATTGCACCATCAAATCATGATGGAAAGGGATTTGGTTTTGGAAAAGGAACCATTGGTCTTAGCATCTAATAACCAGAACAAGGATCATGATCATGATCATGACCATGATAATGAGGAGATTGAGGAGACCACCACAACGACCACTTCTGTGGAGCTAAGATCCTCGGCCAGTTCGCATTATAGAGCTTATACCACGATCCGCAGCAATTCAACATCGGCTATACTGCACGAGGCGGTACTGCCGCCCCTCACGCCCGCCGGAATGCTCTACGCCCGCCCACGCACTCTCAACGTCCACAATGTCTGCCAGACGCCCGCGCAGATAACGCAAATGTTCTTTGGGTATGTTTTTTTGTTTGTTTTTCCTAAGTTTGGCTTTTGGGTATTACTAACAGACTAACAACATATTATTTATGATTTTAAGTTAAAAAGAATTTTTATGATTTTTTTGATACTATTTTATTTGAATTTTCTTAAAGAGAGTTTCTTTGAGAGTTTCTAGGGTGCTTAGGAAATTCTGGGGTTTTACCAACAAGAGACGCAAAGGTTGTGGTTTTAACTTAAAAAACAAGCAAATTGTTAAATATATTTAAGTAAAAACTATTTTTTCGAACAGGAAAGGCCATTTGTTAACAAAAGATTGAAATTTCTCAAGTCATTTCTCTTATCTAGAAAAAGATTTTTAACAAAAAAGCCAAAACCAAACCTACATCTTTCTCTTGCTATTTTTGTGCTAAAACCATATTAGTAGTTTAAACCAAAAGTAAATATTTATCTAGGAAAAGAATCTGCAAGTCAAGGATATGAACAAATGCTTTGTTTAACAGTGTACCATTCATCAATTCCCATCCATTGCTGATCAATTGGGGAGGTCAAGCTCTCTGCATTTAGCCAAGGTCAACAGAAAAGCAATCCAGATGTGAATGGGCATTGGGCATTGGGCATTCGCATAAATATTTATGGCTAGTTGTTAAAATCAATTGGTGGTTTTTATTTGTATTTCTGAGGTGATGTAAGGTTATAAAAAAAACAGCTACTAAAAAATAATTGTTTTTAGAATGAAATCATTCTAAGGTATTTGAACTCCAAAACTCATTGATTTGTCCGAAGAACTGAACTCAGTTTATGGGACATTTTTAGGGTTATTCAGTTTATTGGCTTCGATAAGTTCAATACGCTGCTGGCAAAGATTTATCTGCTGCTGGGCGTCACGATCGGCCACGCCCCCTGTGTGCGCCGTGAGATCGTTCTGCGCTCGTTCTTGCCTGATATTGTCATCGTTATTTTAAAACCGATATATATTTATATATATATATATATTTTGCGCGCGCTCGAAAGCAGAGAAGCCAGAAAAAAAAAGGAAAGAAAAATTCAAAAATTCAATTAAACGAAATTACCACCGCACCCCGGGCAGCTCTATGGCTTTCCATTTTTGTCACTGTGTGAAAATTCATTGAACTTGATCTTTGTGTGATGTTTTTTCTGGTTTTTTGTTTTGTTAATTTATTTATTTGTTGTTGCTTTTGCTGTCTCCAAACACACAGAAGCGCGTGTATTGCATTTGCTTAGCTGTTTATCTTTTTTTTTTCGTCAATTAGAATTGAAATTCAAAATAATAATAATAATAACAAAGCATTAAAATGTCAAAGCTCGCTGTAAACACGATACCCGCCAGCATCGGGTATCGAGTGCGATTGCTGGTATCGAGTACATGCCGTAGATTGGACATTTGTCTCAATTTGCATATAATAAAGTCATAAATAAGGCAAACAAATTGTCACTTTTATGGCGTATTTATTGGGCACATTGCCTTAAGCTGGGCAGGTGGTGGTTTTTCTAGGTTAATCTAACGAATGTTTGATACTCTTTAGTAATTCATTCAGTCAAACCAAACCGGCTATCTTAATGGCATCATTAACACCTAAAAACACACAAATTTGTTTAGGTTATTTCGGTCTCACATCGACTAATTACCCAAAATCAAATTTAATTAAGGTGGAGAATGAAGTATACCCCTTAGTTTTTAGTTTTTTAGATAATTTATGGCATCTCTTTAAATCTTTAATAGTACAAAATACGATTAGGAATTAAGAAGAACCACACCCAAGTCCATCATGCTAGCTGCGGGGTATGAGCAAAGTTCGATCTGGCTATCGGTCTCCGGCTTCCCACCGTCTTCGTGGCCGATGATGTTATGCCTGAGATTTAATTTTAGCCATGATCTATTGCCGACTGACCTTCTTCGTGACACACTCAATTTGTAAACTCATGCTGTGGCACACACGTGTTGGCGATTTGCAGAGTATTGCACTTGGAAGTCAAACTTGCCACGTTCATCAAAAAAGACTCTTTGCGGTCTGCAAATGAACCCAACCCAACCCCTCAATTAAAGAAGCTGGCTTTGTTTTTAGATTCGCCTTAATTTAATTTTTTTATTGCAATCATAAATCAAGCATTGACCGGGCCAGAGACTGAGTCCATGATGTGATGAGTTTATCAAAGGCACTTCAATTCAAGACAAATGCCGCATTCCTTTGTCAATTATTCTAGTAGCATTATTTGTCTTCCCCATTCTCTTTATTGTTTTGTTATTTGTTATTGTTATTCTCTTGACTTGAAGTGCATTTATCAATTTGCCTTCTCCCATTCCATACATTAACTTTACTGCCTCGTGATATTATGCTTTATTTTTAACTTGATTATGGTGTATAATGCAATCGAATAGCCAGCCAACTAGCAATCACGGCTAATTCACTTAAAGGCCACTTAAATTGCGTTTCAGTCCGTTGACGAATGGCAATTCTGGGTATTCGCTAACTGCAAAGTTGAGCTTGTTGCCGGGCTTAGCCTAAATGCAGAGAGTTGGTTTTATTTTTAGAAGTGCCTTAGCTAGCCCCTTCATCCGGAACGATTTGAAAAACAATTAGATGGGTTAATCGGAATCTGAAAGGGATTCACAGGTACTAATGGGTTTGTTTGTTAGGAAAAAAGCTTAAATTTAGTTGAATTCCAGTTTATAGTTTAAAATAAAGATTAAGTAAGCTTTTGTAAGTGACAAAGTTCACTATTTTCTATATTTTCCCCTATAAAACATCATCACTCACCTATTCAAACGGATGCAACTGCTATTATAACACCTTCTCACCACAATCATTTATCAAGAAAACCCACAATAGACATCAGGTAGATAAACCCAGCCAGTGAAAAGTCGGGAGAAGTCAATTAGGAAAACCACTCGCGGCCACCCGCATGCATTCTCGTGGCGGAACTGCAAGCACGTTGTGGCAAATAAATAGTAATAAATGTGCTGGGAAATGCATTAATAGGCTAAGCAAATGCTGGCATTAATTATTCACTCGACATAATTGAGAAACGTGCGGTAAACAATTAATCGAAACACTGCAGAGAGTGTAAACGGCAAACTGTAAACAAATCGCATACCAAACATAAATATCGTAAAACGAGCACTGAGCTAATCGTTTAAAAATACCAACAGAGTGGCCAGAATGCAGACTGCAGTTGCAATCAGTTGCTAAAAATAAGTCAGTCTATCGGAACTATAGTTCCTATATATATATATATATATAGAAGTTCCTCCATAAACTATAGACTATCTTAATGGCCCAGCTGTAACCAAAGAAAAGTCAGAAAGTACGTAAAAGTTATTGATTACCCCGATAATGTCAATCGATAAAGTCGATTTGTGTGTGTGTCTTGGATGAGCCAATCAATTGATGTTGTCACCACTAAAAAAGGGTTTCTGCTTTTGATAAAGCCAAAGTACTTATGGGCTCAGGCTGGCTCCCTAATAACCAACTTATCTGATAAGTTGATTTGGAGATGATCTAATCCATTGATGACACCATCAAAGGCCAAAAATGTCTGATAAAAGTATTGCCAAACAAATCAATGGCCAGGCAAATGATGTGGTCACCTCTAAAAATGTTTTAGACTGATGCAGCCAGCGAAGAATTTCAAATGATATGATTGATAAAAAAGATTGCTAAATATGGTAAATCTAATGGAAGTATCAGTGAGTGTGCTTAAGATATATTTGTTTTTATTTAGCAAATATCAACACATTTACTTAATATTATTTATATATGTTTTTGCCTTCTGCACGATCTACTTGTGCTGATCTTGGCCAAACGATCACTCACTTGCACTTGGCCAATTTTCATGGTCGAAATTGGGAAGTGTCAGTGTCATGCCCCCGGCTATAATGTTCTTCAATATACAAACTAAAAAGAGCTGCTTTTTTTGCATTGTTTTCGTACGTCTATTTATCTGCAGACGTCGCTTTGTTTACGCCAGCGTGTTCTAAAAATAATATGCATTTATCCAAAGCCAAAAGAAAGTGTGAATTTTTGAGGGCCATAACGGAGGCTACTTCATAATTTACAAAGCAAACACACATTCCCCCAGCCCAGAAAGCAAACAACGAAATTTCAAAACAAAATCCTACAAACAAAAAGGAGCAACAATTTAATAGCAATATATAAAGAAATGCCATTAAATCATGTGAGATCAGAAAAAAAAAGAATAAAGAAGGTATAAAGATATATGTCTAAGGCAAAAGTTGCCGAAAAACAGAAAACAATTTTTTAGCATATAATTTTATGGCTTGGTTGGATTTTGTGTGGGATCCGATTGTTTTCTCACCAAATTGAGCGTACTCATGATGATGGTCTAGATCTTATCGTGATATTTATTGAAATGATCTAATATGTATATTAATGGCTTATCAAATAGATATTAAACGTTTTATTTCTAATAAAACTTTGATTAGTTTTGGCTGTGATTTGTATTTTTGGGAAATAAAATTGGTCTTAGGAAAATATGATTGGAAAGGAGTTGGTTTTGGTGAAAAACCAAGGTAGGAACTTTCTTGTTATAATTTGAGTAGAAATCAAATTTCATTTAGCTAGCATATTTTATCATTAATTTGGTAAACCTTCAAGAAAACTTATGACTGAAGTTTTCAAACTTATAATTTCTTTAATCTAAAACTCCTTTCTCCTTAAACTTCACTTAATCCCAACCAAGATCAGTAGTTTCTGCTCCAATAATAGCAATTTCCTTTGTGATCTCATTAGGCAGTTTATAAGTCATAGTTCTTATTTATGTTCCATTAGTTCTAAGCGATCCGTAAACCTCAGATTCCAAACCCTTTACACACCTCAAACTGAGTCACCTTTCCCCGCTTTTTGCATTTTTGACTTAACTTATTAGAGAAAACCATCTGGTCGATGGCTCACTAACCTTGCGCAAAATAAGCCAATTTTGTGTACTCGTTATGATTATGTGGGTTTCTGTGTGCTAGTTAAATACATATATATATA